TTTTCAAACTTAACAGACTGATGAGGCTGAAGAATGTATCTGGTTTTGCCTGACAGCAGCACAAAAGCTTTTTTCTAACTAGTTGTCAAAAAACGTATCACCAGCAGAAACTCCTTAAATGTGGCTTGTAGAGATAAAAAGAGAAGCTTGTTGTATTTGCACAGTATAAACAAATAGCAGGTATCTCCTATATGAACTGATGGGCCTAGCTGTTACACAGATATTTAATAGCTCACTGATAAAACTTTCTAAGAGGAGGGTGTTGGGGTTTTTTTTAAATCCAGAAGGCAAACCAAGGGTCAGAGTGGAACTACTAGAGATGAATAAAGATCCAAAACCCCAGGACTTAAGCACAGTAAACTCTTCTTACTAGTTTTGATACAGATGATCAGCTTCACTGTATATCATTATACTCCAGCTAAGACTTCGGGGTAGGTATAAAGATATCTGCATTAATGGTAGTGCAGGAAACCATGTTTCAGGATCTAAAACCCATAGTGCACAGATGCAGAAAGACACTGCAAAGCAGGTACTGCAATGCAGGAATAAGTTTTCTCAGCAAATCAACCCCAAAAGAGGTGGTGATGAGGAATGAGATTCTGAGTCCATGGATACCATCAAGATGAGGGTGTAAAAACGTACCAATGGTGATACAACAAGCAGCAATAAAGCCCAGCAAAACAGCTCAGTAAATTTTGAGTAAACACTGCAAACACTGTTATAATGGTTATTAAATTATTCAAGAGGATAAAATCCTTGAGCTTGTCAGCCAAGACAATCACACAGCTTCATATCACAGGATATCTTCACAAATGGAAACACGTCAGAGGTCTGAGAATGCAAGCGCCATGACAACTTCCAAAGGACATTTTGGCAGAGCGAGCTTTAGGAATGGGCTTTCTGTCATCTACCAGATCAAAACATAATACATCAGAGATGATAGCCTTCCAGGGCACTTCAAATGAGAAATCCTAGCAAATGGGTCTGCTAAGTAAAGAAAAAGGCAGGGGCAGAGGGGTGTTAAGCAATCAATCACTTGAATGAATTGGGTTTAAGACACAGATGCAGGACAAACTGCAGCTGAGAGAAGCAGCAGGTTTTTCCAGCAAGGTCTGATTCAAGCAGAAAATGCCCATCCAAAAATTCTCACCGACATGTAAAGTGACATACCCGAAACGGCAGCTCAGAGGCTAACATGCTGCTTAACTGGAAAGGCTGAATTGCCTTGAATTGTATATAAAAGGGAGAGTGAGGCAAAGAACCCCTTTTCCTCATTATGTTCCTCTACTAGCCTCTTCTCCACTGTCACCTTGACAGAAGCACACTTAGTCCCTGGGCAGGGATGCTTTCTGCATTAGGGTTGGTGCCATTCTCCTTTCAACAGATTTTCAGGAATGATACAGTCTCTCCTGGTCCTGAAGTATGTACACACACTCCTCACGCTCCACAGAGATGCTGTCATCAGCTGCCCTCTAGCTTTTAGCTGCAGCTTTTGGTGGGAAGCAAACAGGAGCAGCAAAACCTTTAGTCCCAGTACACTGAGAGCTTTCAAGTTCAAGATCAGAATTAGATGGAAAAAAAAAACCAGAGTAGGTTGGGACATATCTATAAATCATGCTGCCTCTTCTGTTATGAAGAGGATTCCTGCACGATGAGGTAACTGCAACTTACAGGTGACTGTTGCTGTGAACTCGATTTCCACTTACTTTGGGCTTGCTGACCCCCTGAAAACCCCACCTCCCTGCCCAGATGTGAATGGAAACACCAGGGCACGCAAATCAAATACTGTGGTGAATCAACAAGCTACTGGTGGGAGAAGCCGCTTCTCCAACACAGTAGGAAAAATACCACAAAATTTAACAGAGCAAGGAGAGTTCTTGCAAGCATTGGTTTGGTTTTGGGACACCAGGGTATGATCATACTGAAAGGTGTTACCCTTTAGCTTGCTGTAGGTCTATTTTAACACAAAATGTCTCTCCTCTGCTTTCAGCAATGGTCCAGACACATTTGGGAGACTGGTAAGTGAAAATGCACACGTCATTTTGTAGTCTTTCATAAAGATGGGGTCTAGAAAGGAATCTTTCCAAATGGGAAAAAAAGTTCACCTTAGATAGTCACGCAGTAAGTGGTAACTTGCACAGCAAAGGAATCCATTTGGATTTATGTCCAAAAATTTAGCCGCAGAGAATCTTTTACATACCCTGATGTGTAGAAAAAGTGGTAGAAACATTAAACACCCCAGCACAGAGGCTCTGGTCAAAACACCCATAGGTCATAGGTAGATGCCTTTGTTTATACAGACCATGAAGCCCAGTCAAGCTTATTAATGAAGGCTGACCCCTCTCGACACCTATGGTGAAAGCTGAACAAACTGCCAGAGCACAAACCCCAAATCCCTCATAACACCAGAAAGTAAAGTATAGTAGCAGAGGCTCTGGTTCTTGCTCCACCTGCGCCATTTGCAGATGAGCTGCCTGTTGCGGCAAACAACTTTCTGGGACCCCCTTCCAGTCTGGCTAGCCCCTCCAGGCAGGTAGCTGCAATCTCCTGCAAAGGTAAACCACCACTGAACTCTGGAACTACATTCTTGGCCACTGCATGAGACAGCCAAAATTGTTTCCCAGTTAACCACTGTTGCTCAGAGAACCAACACAATCCAAACATCACAGTTTTACAGCAGTTCCTAGGAGTGGGGAGATGAGGCAGCAGACAAACAGTTAATTTTGCAGAGGCATTAATTGGTATGTCAGTCTTGGGCTTCTTCCTGCTTCTCTCGCACTTCCATAGCAGTACACAAATATTGAATTCTCTTCAGAGGGTAAAATACCACGTACAGTTAAACCATACTGAGTTAAGTATGAAGAAATTAAGATATATTAAACATGGCACTTGCACAAACACCACAGCTATAACTTTCAGGGGGAGATGACTTTCACAAGCATATTTTTTCTGCACTGTTTTCCTGGCAAAGTGTCCAAACTCTGGGGCCAGCACTTCTGAGACAGAGTGATAGTGCCTCTGCATGGAGGCCCAGCTACTTCAGGAGCACCATCAAATTTAACACTCCTGGAAACATCACAAGGGCAACTTCAGCTGCATTTTTCAGATCTTCCTCTGAACAGTCATTATTTTTAACAGAGCTTCCAGGGAGGAAAAAAACACCTTCTGCCCTTGAATCGCATATGCATCACTTCAGGATAATAGTCTCTTGTCAGAGAAAGAGAAAGGGAAACCCAAGCAGCAAACTAATTGGGGGATGGTAACATCACCTCAGCTGTGCAGTAGATTTGCCTGCCAGCACCTTGTCTGTTCTTCATCTCTCCACAGCACTGTCAAGAGATGCTACCCACAAAAAAAACAAGGCAAAAAGTTTGAGTGTCCTTCTGTGGGCACTGGGTTCCTTCTGAAAGCCTGCTCTTTGAGAATTACTTCCTGGAAAAGGATTTGGACAATTATTTTTTAATGACTGCAACATACAAGTGATTCTCATCCTCTTTTTCTTTACTCCAGCTTCTGTCCACAGCCCTTTTGGGACCATAAGGCTTCACATACTTTTAACTGATACCTCAACCACTTTCAGGGATGCATCACATTTCTTCCACAAACCATTAATTGTTTCTTTAGAAATGTAGACAGTTTTGGGATGAAGTAACTCCCTTCTATTAAGTTTCAAAATCTTGCAGCTATTGAATACTACAGCCCTTTTGTAATCAGTAAGAATTATCCAGTTAATTGCAAGTCATTCTCTTCATAGAAGAAAAGATATTTAATATGAAGTCTGCATATATTCTAACTTAACTTCCATTAACCTGTTAGCCCATGAACAGAGCTCATCTTTCAGGGGCCCAATGCCTCGATATCCAAGAGGCAAATATACCCTTAATTACTGACAAAGATTGTTTCAAGAAAAACCCAAAACAACAAAACGCACAGAAACAAACAAACAAAAACCAGCAAAAAAAACCCAACCCTTTTCTGCTTTCTTCCAACCTTTCTCTCACCGTGGCCTCGGATAGTCAAAGCAGCAATCCCACAGCCAGTCTTCCTGATTCTGAACATCAATTCATAGACGATGAAGAGTTTTGGTCTAGTCACAGCAGCCACAACACATGTTAAAAGATTAAAAAAGATCCATTTTCATAGCTCACTCTATGCTGACAAGGCCTTGCTCATTTTCCCTACACAGGTGTAATCACTATGTAATAAATCTACACGGGAAAGACACAGTTTCTACCAACAAAACACCACCTGGGGAAGCTCTGCTCTTGTTCCCCAGAGGAAGCAAGCGGCACAGCTAACGGATGGGTTTTGCCAGTGTAACATCTCTCTGGAAGAACGGTAGTGCTGCAGCAATGACAGAAAGGAACACGATTTTCCACACTTAACCAAGGTAGTTAAACCAGCAGAACACGTAGCAGGGCGCAAGGGAGATGATCCCAACGCACAAAAAACCTCACGCCACAAGCCAACCGTTCGGCAAACTGGCTGCCGAAGCAACGCCTGTGCCGGGGACCTGACGCTGGCCCAGCCCCGGGGTCCCGGCCAGGGTGCCCCTCGGATCCCTTTCTTAGCCCGTGGGCTTACATTTCCCCCGGGAGGCCACCGAGGGCCCGGCCCGGGGATGAGGGCCCGGCCCGAGGCCGCGGTACACGAAGCCTTCGCTCCCCCTGAGGCTGCACCCCGGCGGGCAGGACCCGGCGCCACAGCCACCGCCGAGACCCCCCTCCCCGCGGGCTGAAGCGAGGCGACGAGCTGTATTCCGACATTAAAAACCTCCCGACGGAGGACGGCGCCCACCTCTCACCGGGCTCCCCTCAGCCGGCCCGCCACGACAAGCCCCACCCTCTCCTCCCATTCGCGCCCCCTATTGGCCGAAACGCCCGCCCGTCAGCGGCGGTTACCATGCAGACGCCTCCGCCGCGGCGACGCCCTGAGGGAGGAGCGGGGCCGCCATGGGGGCGGGGAGGGGGAGGCGGCGGGCACCGACACCGGGACCGACACCGACACTGGGACCGGGACCGGGACCGGGACCGATGCACGGCGCAGAGGAAGCGGTGGCGGCCGGGGGGCCGCGGGTGAGGGCGGCGAGCACGCAGACCGACAGCATGGCCGGTGAGGCGGGG